CACACTTTGTCTCTCTCTCTCTCTCTCTTTCTCTAACGGGCCCCTAATTTTTTTAAATTTTTTTAAGCATCGGATCCCAATCATTAATTACATTTGTAGTCTTTTAATTACTTACTTACCCAATTAGTTACCTAATTGTAAATCAAAAAAAAAAAATAGCTACCTAATTGTTTTGGACTGTTTGTGAACTTATATGGATATTTTTAATTATGATTCTCCTCGATTTTTTGCAATAATAGGTCCCTCACATTCAATTCAAAAAAAAAAAAAAGAAAAGAAGAGGAAAAAAAAATTAAAATATATATATGTGTGTGTGTGTGAATCATATATTTTATTCAAGTTCATCTAACTCAATATTAGCAAATAATCAAAGAAGCTAATTGCTCAGTGTGATGCGCAATCGACAGATTTTTGCTGTAAAGGAAGTTGTTTTATTTGCTAGACGAATTGGGTGTGATGAAATTGAGTCGGCAGGTGACTCAGTTACGGTAATGAAGTTGTTAGATGATAATGCAGATGAGTTCTCTTCTCTGGGTATCATTGTTGTTGATGTTAAGCGTATTCTTCATTTGTTTATTTATTTTTCGGAAATTTTGTTGCTCATCTGCTTGCTAGGGAAGGTTAGGCACTGTGAGAATGTTGACCTATGAGAAGAAATAGAACTAGATTTTCTAGTGCCATATCTTCTTAATATAAATTCTACCGTTTCTTTAATCATTTATATATATTAGCAAATAATCATTTATATTCATTATACTCAACATATATAATTTGATTTTGGAATGGATAAGGGTATTTTTAATTTGTACTCTCAAAATAATAAAAATTAAATTCAAATAAAGACTATCAATTAAAAAAATCATATTATATCGTGACTAATTTGATTCCAGGACAAGCTAGGTATATGAGTGGATTAATATTGAGACATATTATTAATTCAATGACATGATTGATTTTGTCAATACGTTATATCAATATGTACGAGTAGATTGCTCTCGAAAAAAAAAATATACAAGAGAAGACTTAATTTTTTTTTTCTAAATATTTAATCTCATTTATTATTTCTATTCTTTTCTTATTACAAGAAGATTTACCATGTAAAATCATATAACTGCATATCCCAAAGCCAGGAAATACCCAAACTTTAGAAATTGCAAGCCTAGCGCGATATTAGCTGGCACTGTCAATCTCTCCCCCCTCTCTTTCTCTCTCTCAGCAAATACTGCACTTCTCGATAAGCCACCCGCTTATTTATACCCCAGCAACGCCGTCTCATACACATCCCCATCTGTAGAATCAAACCACCAAACACCACCCCCACAAACCCTCCTTTTCTCTCTCAGAAACACCCTTCTTTTTCCTCTCCATATCTCATGCATTGCCCAAAAGCATCATCACCCCAAAGCTATGCCTCAGATTTTAGCGATTGCATTGGCATGGAGAGTTGTTTTGACCTAACAACTGATGATGATGATGATGCAGTGGCATTGAGTAAAGGGTGTGGTGGGAGTGGTGGTGGTGTTGGGGAGAGAGATCTACGGTGGGGGATGAAGAGAGAGAAGAGAGAGAAGCATTATCCACCGCCCATGCCATCGCTGGCACGTACCGGGAACTTGCCGTCACACATGCCGTGGGTGTTGAAGAAATGCTACACCGGCGATGGAAGATTGGTAATAACAGAAGAGAAAGTGAAGCATCACGGGTACTTCAGGGCTCACAGATCCAATGGCCGTCTCACTCTGCATCTCGTTCCCCTGGACGACGGCGTTTTGGATTCTCATGATGACAATGAAGTGTTTCAAGAAGAAGAAGAAAAGATGAATGATATTGTCGAAGCCCAGTATGATAAGAACACCAATCAGTCTGATCACGATGATAATGATGAGAATGAGAGTGGTGATGAGGGGGAAAATGGAGGGGCAGTGGTGTTGCCGGAGGCAATGATTAGGTCGCCGGACGATGCTGGTTTGAGTATTATGGGGGGTGGCGGTGGTGGGGGTGGCGGCAATTTTTACAACTACGGTAGTCTGAGATCGAGCTCGTGTATGCTTGGTATGCCAGTACTATCGATAAGGCAAGTTCACATATAGCTACTTGGCATTGTTAACTTTCTGTCGCTATTCCAAAGAAGATGGGTTTTTGGGTTTAGCGTCAAGAGTTCGAGTCGAAATAATTGTACAATGAGGGGAAATTCGTGCATTGGGCCGCTCTAAAAGTGAATTTTGGTCTTTTTACCCACATTTCTACTTCTTTTTTTTTTCATTTCGATTTGTTAATTCGTTTTTTTGGGGCCACATTGTACTCACTTGTAGCTAGGTTGTGATGAGTCGTTCATGCATTCTTAGAGTTGTTGTTTGATGGGTAAAATGTAGATGGTGGATAGGGTTTCACACTCTGTTTGTAAGCAGATGATGTTCTTCCTGTGGAGTTCTTTTTTTTTCCCCTTTTCATACCCAAAAAAAGATAGCTGATTTGGAAATAATAAATTTTCTTTTCATTAAAGAGATTTCCAGCATTTCTCTCTCACATCAGCTGTCCTTCGGTTATAAAGGCCTTGTTGGTTGCTATTTTTGCACATAGATTAGATACAAGTTAGTACTACTTTTTAGGAAGTAAATATTTGGTTTAATGGGGACGCGACCTTCTTATTATTATTGGTATTCAGTATTTAATGGATATATTAGTTATTGAGACTTTTATCATGCCAAAAAATAACTTTTGAATCAATTTCAGAAGTTACGAGATGAAATCTATCCAATTTTTTATTGGTAATCAATCCGGAATCTATCCAGTTTGTATTAATAGATATTTTGGGTGCTAAGAACCAAAATCGAGAGAAAAACAACTCAAATCATATGCTGAGATCACTAACCAATCACTTTGTGGAAAAGGAAGAAATCACGTAGTAGAAAAGGAAGTAATCGAACGACGACAACTAGGAGGTGAGCTTGGAAGCCGCCATCCTTGGAAAAAAGCGTAATAGTTCACCGGTCGTTATATCCCCATATTTACATCATTGCACGACAAAAATTATGATTACAATGGTTATACCCCCCATATCTATATCATTCCACAACAAAAACTATGTTTACAGTGATCATTATATCCCCATATCTGCATCATTGCACGACAAAAACTATGACTACAAGCCAATATTTGATCAAAAATATTTATTATCTCAAATTTTGAATTTATTGAGTCATGATTTGTTGCAAATTTCATCCAACCTTTTTTTTCCATCACATAACATGGATAATTCAAGAATTATTAAATTATATGGGATTGAAATTAATTTTAAAAAAAATTGAATTAGAGGTGTTTAATTGATAAAATAGTGAAAGGTAGTTATATTGGTCAATTGTTGATTGGAGAATACCTAACCTTGTAATTAATTAAATAAAAATTCTAAAAAATAAGAAAAGTGGGAGGGAATGCTTCTCAAACTCACCCCCTCCCCCAAAAAACGAAAAAATTAATTGTTATATATACACTAATGTTGACCCCGTGTGATGCACATAATAGTATTACGTACATATAAAATTGGAATGTATTCATCTAAAGTGTATTTTCAAGTTGTGGGTTTATGATATCTCAACAATGTGACACTTGACAATAGGGGTGCAACTCGAGTGGGTTGAGAGGTCAACTATAGCCCAACTCTAAGTATATAATCGTCAACCGTAATGCTAACTCTAACTCTACCTCAACCTAAGTACTGCCTGGATTTAATTTGAGCGGGTTCGGTTTGAATTCGGGTTACTTAATTCGGGCTATTTTTGGGTTATGCTCGACTTACTTAATTCGGGTTGATAAAAGAGGGAGGAGTGATGAGTGAGAGCGGGAGGCTAAGAGTCTGAGACTAGATGAGAGACAAGTGAAGAGTGAGAGAGGAATCTGAGAGTGATGGAGGCATAGGAGTGAAAACTTGAAGTGAAGTGAAAGTCTGGACTCTGAAAAATAAAGATAAATACTAACTCTAGTTAAATATATTTATATATTTATGTATATTCTGGTTTAACCCGATTTTAATATTCGGGCTGAGCCGACAACCTGAGGTCTCAACCCAAGACTTACCCGAATTCAATTCAAGTTGGAGTTTTTTTGCCTAGACCTAATCCAAATATTAAAAATTCTAATCCAAACTTTATTTTTTGGGCTAGGTCGAATTGAATTCGGATTGACCCTGCTCAAATTGCACCCCTAGCAGACAAGCGATAGATCAAGAAAGACAAAGAAAGGCAAGGTGGTGGAGAGGAAAAAAAAAGTGAGTAGTCAAGCAGAGAGGGAAAAAAAAAATTCAGATGGGCTGGTTAAGTAACTGCATAAAGATATTAGCAAGTAATTGAGTGAACATAGGACACTAAAATGGTGAATGGGAGAATCTCTATATTATAAAGAGATGTTTTTACAAATAAGGAGAGCCCACCAAAAGCCTATTCTTAATTTTTCAGAATTTTAATGATTTAAAAACTACCCAAGACTCCTAAACGTTCTGAACCCTTTTAATTTAATGATTTAAAAACTACCAAAGTCTCTTAAATATTCTCAACTCTTTTAATAACTACCTCCCTAAGAGCAACTCCAACAAGCTCATTAAAGAGCTCTGGTTAGTTATTTTAGATAGTTTTTTCCTAAAATTTGGCTCTAACAAACTAGTAATTTTGCTGTCTATTTCTCATTACGCTAGTTTCACTCGCTGGATGTAGCTAGCCTCTTTCTCTCTCGCTGGCGCTAATTTCCTCTCCACTCTCTATCTCTCTCTCTCACTGAAGCTCCAAAGCACATAAGTTCCACAACACCCTGCTCCACAGCACTCGAAGCTCACTGAAGCTCCACCGACTGAAGGCTCCACTGGTATGGTCTCTCTGTCGTTCCTCCTCCCCCTCTTTCTCTCCAAAAAATCTCTCTCTCTCTCTCTCACACACACACACATACACACAAAGCGAAGGGAATGGTAGAACAACTAACTGACAATCAAATCTCCGAATTCAAGGAGGCTTTCAGATCTATTTTTTGTTCGTTTATATTTTACCCAATCATGTGGGTATTGGTTTACTTGATGGGTCTTGTCTGATTGGATTAATTTGTAATTTTGTATTGTTGATCCGAATGGGGAAGATGATGGGTTGATTAAAATTCAGCAAAATTTCCCAAAAATTTTAAAAATTCAGCAAAATCTCCCAAGTATTTTATGATATTTACTCTTGTAGCACATAATGGATTAAATTTATACAATTTATAATTGAATTGCTATTTTTTGAATTTTATTATTGAAAGTTAGTTAAAAGTAGTTGAAGTGGTTAGCTAAAATAGATAGCGTTGTTAGAGTAAATTTGAAAAAGTGATTAGATAAAGTAGATAATATAATATTTAAATATATTTTGAATAGTTATTTTAAATAGCATTGTTGGAATTGCTTTAAGTGGATAACTCCCACATTTCTAAACTTCAACTCCACACCTCGTTCACGTCTCTCACCCCTCATCTACAACGCCAATTTCTAAACTTCCAAGGTCTAATACAGTAAGCTACGTAAATATCTTTCATCTCCTCATTTTAGCTGTGGAAGTATCTAACTTTTTTGATTGTATGCGAGAATATTGCTAGTGGCTCTTATTCAAGTAAGCCTCTCCCCTTCTCTATCTCTCTTCCACTGTTCTGATCCCTTACATGACGCTTCGTCATGGTTTATTATATATTTTTTCTGATACTATTTATCATATATGCTTCTGAGTTAACATTTAGTTATAATGTCATTTCGTTGGTGTATTCCATGTGAGGGTCAAAACTAGATTAATATGAGCCACTGCATAGAAAATCAATGTCAGTTCCTCTATTAGAGTCTGTGGAACATGATTGAGAGTAAAAGTGGTAGTGACAAGATGAACCAAGCATTGCTAGTGAAGACGATGATTGATATCAAACTGCACGGGATAATTCCTGCAATAGTATGAGACAGCGATCTCCACGTTGGCGAACCTGAAACAACAGGGTCAGAAAAAAGGGGGCCAGAAGTGTGCCCGACTTATCCCCTCCGAAGCTTAAGTCAGTATCAGCTCGAAGGGTTTTGCTCAATTGACTATTTTTATGGTTCCAATTTGCGTACTTTTGTCTATTTTTCTGAGGAATATTTACACCTGAATTAGCAATGATTGTCAAAGACCTCCAGTCCCATCTGGATATTTTATTGCATGCAACCATAATCTCCCCATAATAGCATTGTAAAGGGAGTCGGAGTCTACCACCACAAATTTCACTGGCGTGGTCACCACCCCCGCTCGTACCATTAGGGTGATTTTTCTAAGTGGTAGGGCGCTAGAACCATTGAAACCAATGAGAGAGACTTTTACGGGTTCCAGATCCCTCTGAGAGAGTTCCATCTTGCAGAAGAGGTGATCGTACATTACCTTGGAAGAACTGCCCGAGTCCACCAAGATCTTCTTGACGTCGAACTTACCGACCCGCACAGTGATTATCAATTCATCCTCGTGGAAGAGGACTACCCCGCCAAGATCAGCATCGAAAAACTGGATAACCTTAGCACCCCTCCGCGGCTTCTTGGCTGGCCGCTCATCACCCCTTTCGTCGACCCTAACTGCTTGAGAGACCCTTTGTAACTCAGCACGGAGGGTGTTGTATGTAGGCCCCTCCACTGTGCAGGCATGAATAACATCAATAACGGGTGCTACCTCAGTTGGCACCTCGGCTTTCTCCCTCGCCGACCCGCTGGAACGACCCCTGTCGATGAATTCCCTGAGGTGCCCGTCTCGCACCAATTGTTCGAGGAATGATTTATAACCCTTGCAATTCCCCATCAAATGGCCAACATCTCTATGATACAAACAACGTAAGGCCGCATTCTTTGTCGACGGGTCTCCAAACATCCTCGAGAGTCACTTGAAGTAAGGTTTGTTTTTGATTTTGGGAAGTATCTTGTGAATGGGCTCGTTGAAAACCATGTTCACTCCCTAGAAGGATAGGAGAGTTGGGGGTTGAATAAGCCCTCCTCTTCGGGCCGGTTGCTCCCTTTCCCTTTTTCTCGGCACCGTGAC